CTCTGTAAACACAAATTAGTTAGCATAAATCAGTTAAATGACGAATAATTAGGTGTCTATTTACTTGTGACCACGCTCTGTATAAAGTTAGTTACCATGAAAAAGTTTCTCAGCACATGTCAGTGCAGATAGCCAAGCTGCTTTGCACCAATAAATGCCAAACAACCAACCAAACTCAGTACATGTCATCATAACTATACTTGTAATGTTTAAGAAAAATACAAATAATGATCATTACATCAATAAAAATAATTAATAAAGAGACTGCATTATAAATATAACTAAGTTTGTCAATATCCGTTATCTCTTCTCCACGTATGCTACAAAAGACAAAAACTATTACGTAGCCTAAATTTGTTTTCACTTTTGCAAAATGTGAGAACCATAAGCACCAAGTAACTCTGTAAATATAGATAAAATAGTTTGACTCAAACCACAAACTTATTTTAAGCTAATTCTGTTTTTAGGGCCTTAATGCAAATAACATTATACTCTTTGTTACATGTACTTTAAACACGACCAGTATTAAATGTTTATAGCTGGAACTAGAAATGCAGGATGTTATGTACATATGTTAGTTTTTTCTCATTGACTGCACTGAAGTTTAGAAGGATGGAATGCTTTTTACCATATAGAAACAACTACTGTATTAACTGCATGTAAGTTGTATTTAGTGTTCACCAGGATTTGTCATTAAAAAAACTATTGATCCTGTATATATATTTTTTTCTGAACTGGTCCAAGGATATTGTATTTGTATGTTTAATCTACTGTCAAATAGGATTCCTCTGTCAGTGAAATTTATTAAACTAAATGTTTCTTTGCATAATTTTGTTGTTTATTTTAACATATTTGTGTGATGTAATCAGACCACATATTTCAGTTGTTTCAAGTATGATTCTAACACTTTTTGACAGTAATTTGGTGTCTGGAAATACCCTTTATCAAATATCCTTTAAATGTTTGGTATTATATATAATAATATGATCCTTTTAAAATTTGATATAGTTGTGGAAGACATTTTCAAGAAACGTGAACCTCTGCCAAACATGGAAGCAATATATTTAATTACTCCAGTAGAAAAGGTATGTTTTCATTTTAGTTAACAAAGAATTTTCTTTGTTTATCATTAGCATCCGATATGTTAAAACTATTCTTAATTAGATATGCCAGGTACAACAGAATACGTAGTTGTGAAAACCAAAAATATGCAAGTTTGAAGTATCTCAGTCTTCCTATTACGGTCAGTTCTGATTCTCAAACATGACTTGTAACATCTAACAAGGTCTTTAAATGTTTTAAATTTTCTATATGCACTACATCATTTAGGAATCTGTTTCATATATGTACACTCTTTGTTAATGGTATTAACTTCCTTTGAGTTTAACATGCACTCAAATCCCAATATGTGGAAAATATAGACATATGGAACACATAACATGATCACACCTAGCAGCAGCAAAAGTTCAAAAATCATTAAATAATGTCGAGGGTGGTGTAATGTCTGGAGAGGAAATATGAATACAAAAAAATACAAGAAATAGTTTTTCATAAATCACTTAAAAAGAACATCCAAAAGGTAAGTAAGATCAAACTTAGATATGTAACACACCAATTCGGTTGTGTAACCCTATAAAGTTCTTAACAATACATTTCAGTAAACAATTAACATGGAATAGTCACTTTTCTAAAATATTTATCAAAGTGTGCCAGAGACTAAACTACCTTTGGAAAATCAGAGGCTACACTAAAGTATGTGATTCCAAAATCATTTTATTAATATATAAAGTATATATAAGACCTATAATTGAATATGGCAACATTATAACATGACCAATAACCTGTATAAATCACAACACAGTTAACCTTCTCTCTACAAATTACACCTAAACAGAACACTATTCTGTTTGAACTAATGGCTTAATATTGAATATCTCCCTTATTTTTTACTTTTTGACATTGATTTGTTGCTTTTACAGAGTGAAACAATGGTAATTTTTCAAATTTAGCATGCCCACATTGTTTATTTTGAGAGTAGAAAAGAAAGTTATTTAACAGCCAGTTGAACATTTTCTTTCTCTGTAGATTGACATTAGTACACTGCTGAGTTTGTACTTTTGAAGAAACTGATTGCAGTATCATACCAACCCAAAGTGTCTTTAGATATATGTAATGTTATGCTTATAATACAGTACTTAAACTACTTAATTATTGATTAATCCTCTCCAGACGGGTCAAAGGCCATATCATCACGTTTATTGACTCGCATTCAAAATTTTATTGAACTATTTCATGAATTTATGTCAATAAGTTCGGTATCAAACTGCAGATTATAATTCCAATTTGAGTATTATACATTATTAATTTCTTAATTTAAAAGTAAATATTAAAAAACACAGCTAAACATTGATTTTTGTGTCACGTGGTATGTTGAATGCAACACTGGTTCAAATTAGATGTTTGTGATGTCAAAATACTAAGTCTATAGTTTCATACAAATTATGAACTCAAATTACCAATATTGACAAGCTAGAATATGAAATAAGAACCTCGTATCTTTTCTGTTTGCTGAGATATCACTCGTCCTGAATCAAACAGTGGCCCAGCTCTTCTCTTTCTATTTTTGTAAACAGTCCCTTATATACACTTACTTCAATATATGACATGTAAATAACCAATTAAAAGCTCAGAATGTCCCCTAGTGACTTTCTCATCCATTTTCATGTGTTAGGACACCATCTCAAGATTTCAAGGAGGTAGGTTGTGTCTTTATTTTGCTTGAAATTTAATATTTTTTTTTACATTCAAATACATCTTAGTTACTAAGCTTGATAAAATATAGTGGAATTCTATGGTATCAGTATGGTAGTTTATGATCTTTTGGTTATTTAACTGTATATATATATATAAAACCTAAAAAAATTAGTTTCATATCATCCACGTGCAAAATTTTAAAAAGCTTAGCAACCTACGTCAAGCAGCAGCCGAGTACGAAAGTCCAAACTAGAAGTGATAACTGTTTGATTTACTTCTTTATTTACTGTTTTATGTTTCAAGAAAAATAAGCTTAAGAACTTGTTTCTAAATAGTAATAATCTATATAAATATATATTGTATAATAATGGAAATGTTACTGTATTTTACAAAATACTAGTCTACTAAAACACAGCCAAGACAGGTCACTTTGTAAAGACTAAAGGTCAGTCTTATATTATTGGATACGGTAACATGAGAGCACGTGTGCCGC